AGTCGGTGGCGACTTTTGCTAAACCGCAACATTTGCAAACACAAACACAAAACCTCAAGTCAATTATCCCACCGCATCACAAACATCAGTAAAGAGCTCAATCTTGTCAGAGAAGAGAGGCTTGAATACTCTGGTGAAGCAAAAGTCGGTTGTCATAAGAGAAATGACTTATCCAGGGGCATGTTAACCGAAGATTCTGTTAAGAGAAAGCATCTTGGGGATTTACAGCCTGAGTACCCTTTAGGGATGAAGTTAGCATGTTCCTCTAATCTGAGGCAATCAAGTCGAGATTCGATCTCTCCAAGTTCATCCAAGTCTAGGGAATTCCCTCAAAGCTGTCAAACCAGAAGCTATCACGTTGATAAATATCTTCAAGCTAATATCAATCGGAGGCTATCACGTCGATAAATCTCTTCAAGTTATTGTCGATCAGGGGCTACCACATTGATAAATCTATTCAGAATTCATTCAACCTGGGGCAGTTACGTCGAGATTCGAAAAATCTCTTAGAGAAAGTTGTGATCAAGAGAAGTTTATTTCGTGACTCAAGACATTGGGGTAGGCCATATCTTATCATAATGTAGCACGGATATTCCGGTCTTCTATTCAGCATGGATTCTTTCATAAATTTCATAGACAGAGGAATTCCTCATCCATACTCACAAAGCTGCTCAAGTCGATTATGTTGTACGAGACAATAACAATCAAGCTAAAAGTATCATAACAGTCACCTTGACTCAGCCAGCACATGAAGCCACCTTCATCTTCTACAAAAATTTCAAACCTGACTCCCCAAGTGAATTCAGAAAGTCCGGAGTCATCATTTGACTTGGAACACGAAAGTGCATATCCCCAGTGGAGTAAACTAGGGCATTCGAGAACCAAACCCGAGCATTCATAGACATCCATTTCCATTTTTTATCCCTAAGTGATTTAAGAGGTGATTCCCCAGTGTGGCGTAAACTTGGGGCATGCATTCGAAGAGATCCACATGGTGTTCAATATCCATTCTTTGGCATATTCAATTATACCATTCTCTCAACAGTTCAGGATGTAGGGAAGTCGAGCTAGATTATCTCTTCCCCAACAATGCAATTCAGAATTCAGTGGCGCATCTGAAAACTCGCTTCGTCAGCAATTCAATCTTCAGCGGAGTCGTCAATAATCTTTGGTATCATGAGCTCTTAGTGCAAATTCTTATTAGTATCCCTAGTGATCTTTAATACTGCAGGTTTCTAGCAGCAATATGTATTGGCATCCCCGGTGATAAAAAAAACGAGCCTTCACTTATCCCCATGAAGTTTATTTCTTTGCATTGTGCATATAGTTGTCATTACATTGCATTGCATTGCATTGCATCTTCAAAAGCACGTAGCCGGTCCATTAGAATGGATCTTTGCGGAAAAAGAAATTTAAACATGCATACAAAGAATAAGCCAGATCGGGTACCTTACACGAAAGACCTGAATCATTCAAAGATAACAATACATCCCACAAGAGGATATTGCTCCTAAAACCGCAGTTGGTGACCTTCATCTTCATAATGCCCATCTAACAGTGCCAGTACCTTGTACCCTTGAATTCTCGACAAAATCAATACACCTTGTCATTCTAAACCCAGTTGTCATCTGGTAGTCGGTTCTCGTCTGACAAATAATTCAAATTCCTACACTCGTCTGTGTCAGTCTTCCAACACTCGTCTGTGTCAGTTCTCTAAACACTCGTCTGTTTCAGTTTCCTAAACACTCGTCCGTGTCAGTTTATCTAAACACTTGTCTGTGTCAGTTTCTCTAAAGACTCGTTTGTGCCAGTATTCCAAATGCTCGTATGTGTCTATTTGTCCGTTGAATCCCAACAAATACAATGTAGTTGGTCATTCTCTCATCTTCAATTATCGTGTCATAGTCAATATGCTCACCTTCTAAGAATTGTAGGTCGCACATAGGCCTAGCTTTTGGTAGATCGCCTATAGGTCTTACCTTAGGATCTTAGATCGACCGTAGATCTAGATTTCCTTGTAGATCACCCGTAGGCTTAGTAATTTTTGGTGGATCTCCTGTAGATCTTACATTATGATCTTAGATCGACTGTAGATCTAGATTTCTTATAGGTCGCACGTAGGCCTAGCTTTTGGTAGATCTCCCGTATGTCTTACCTTAGGATCTTAGATCGATTGTAAATCTAGATTTCCTTATAGGTCACCCGTAGACCTAGTAATTTTTGGTAGATCACCCGTAGGTCTTACCTTAGGATCTTAGATCAAACATAGATCTAGATTTCCTTGTAGGTCGCTCGTAGGCCTAGCTTTTGGTAGATCGCCCATAGGTCTTAGCTTAGGATCTTAGATTGACATAGATCTAGATTTCCTTGTAGGTCACCCATAGGCCTAGCTTTTGGTAGATCGTTCGTAGGTCTTTTCTTAGGATCTTAGATCGACCGTAGATCTAGATTTACTTGTAGGTCGCCCGTAGGCCTAGCTTTTGGTAGATCACCTGTAGGTCTTACCTTAGGATCTTAGGTCGACCGTAGATCTATATTTCCTTGTAGGTCGCCCGTAGGCCTAGCTTTTGGTAGATCTCCCGTAGGTCTTATCTTAGGATCTTAGATCGACCATAGATCTATATTTCCTTGTAGGTTACCTGTAGGCCTAGATTTTGGTAGATCGCCCATAGGTCTTACCTTAGGATATTAGATCGTCCTTAGATCTAGTTTCCTTGTAGGTCGCTCGTAGGCCTAGTAATTTTTGGTAGATCGCCCGTAGGTCTTACCTTAGGATCTTAGATCGACCGTAGATCTAAATTTCCTTGTAGGTCGCCCGTAGGCCTAGATTTTGGTAGATCTCTCGTAGGTATTACCATAAGATCTTAGATCACTCGTAGATCTAGATTTCCTTGTAGGTCGCCCGTAGGCCTAGCTTTTGGTAGATCACCCGTAGGTCTTACCTTAGGATCTTAGATCGACCGTAGATCTAGATTTCCTTGTAGGTTTCCCATAGGCCTAGTAATTTTGGTAGATCACCTGTAGGTCTCCCTTAGTAGATCGCCCGTAGATCTAGATTTCCTTATAGGTCGTTCGTAGATCTAGCTCTCCCCTTATAGATTTCCGGTAGGTCTCCCCTAATAGATCGCCCATAGGTCTCCCCTAACAGATCGCATATAGGTCTCGCTTTAGGATTGTAAGTCGCCCGTAGATATAGCTTTCCTCTTATAGATTGTTTGTAGGTCTCATCGTAGGATCATGGCTCGTCCATAGATCTCATTCATCGTCTTTTCGTACCCATCTTGTAAACTTTCATCTTGTATAACAAGAGCCCCTTTTGATAACCTCGTATTGGCACCGATACCCCATTACGAGCAATCACCTTCTATAATTCACCCATAAATCCTTCTCACCCGGAAAAACAGAAAATTCTCTCCCCAACAGATATCACAAAAAATAAAAATAAATAAACACTCACACTTTCTTTCAGAACAAATTTTTGGCATTTGGTACTTAATAATCTTTTACCCCGAGCGTCCGAAAGGAACGCGACAATCGTACTTTAAGGTTTAAGACAATTAAATGGGGGCATATGTAATACCCCAAATTTATCCTACCTTTTCAACAAATCATCTAGCTTATGCGTCTCTTAATCATCATGTTCATACTCCCATTAGGTCATCTAACACATCATGCATCATTAATCAATAATTTGGCATGGGATCAGAGATCTTGAAGAATTAGGGTTTTACAGTGGTTAAGGCATCCGTATCCAATAAAGGTTGGCTCCTTCTTCAAGCATTAAACAGAGGCATTAAGATTTTGATCTATGGTCATTGAGATTTCTTTCTCCTTAAGCTATAAAGCTATTATTTCCATATCAACAACAGATCGCAGGGTTTTCCTCATTAGAGCTATGAATCTAGGGTTTATATCCTATCATACTCAGGTTTGTCAACATTTTACTGGAATTTTGATGGATAGAAAAACATGATAAAAGGAGGGTGTTGTGGATTCATTGTGATAAAGGGTATTATTGTTCTCAATTGTTTGATTGCTTGAATGCGAGAGTTGAAATTAAGATTTCTTCAAGACATGGCACTTTGTGAGGTCATTGGTTACCAAGTCATAGGTTTATGGATTGAATTACGAAATATTGAATCATGACTCAAAGGATAATTTTGTGGGTTCATTGTTATACTTATAGCTCACAAGGCAAACAAATACCAATTGAATGATTTTGTTAATTGAAGATTAAGTTAGAACTATTCATTCGAGTTCACCATATTGCATTCCAAATTGAAGATTTTTTCAATGGGAACTTTGACGAACGTATCTCTTAGTCCCTTTTGGGACTTTCATAATATTCATTCAATTGAAATGTAAAAAGGGGAACAAAGAATGGAGAATTCAAACAGAGTGCAAAGTTAAGAGGGAAACTTCAATTTTGAATTTTGGCTTAATTTACAAGACACCACAAGGTCATTACAAAGATGATACAACTTGAAAACTATCAAGGAATTACAAATCATATAACATTTCCTTTCATCATCGTGACATGTTCAAACACATTACTATCTAAATCTTTTCACTCATTCAAGTTCCAAGCAAATTCATTTACACTGTGTTGAGAAGATTACATGACAAAGAGAGGTTCAAGATTTAAATTCCTAATTCTAAACATGTCCTAATCTTAAACTTCATCAATTATTCAACCCTTGCCTATGTCCTTGCTTCATAATTGCAAGCTCACTAAAACATCATTCCAAACACCAAAATACAACTTAAATTTCATCACATGTTCGTATAGTACAATTCCATTTCATTACACACAGTCATGCTTTCGCATTGCAAACTTGTTCGCAATCATAAATTCCTAAAAGCTGCTAAGTCCCCAAACATTAGCCAATCTTCATAATCTTCCCACCACTCTGTCTTCTTCTTTTGGCTTTGCTTCATAACCATGCGCGTGTTCTTCATAATCAATCTTCACGCTTCATCCAAATTCGTGGCTAATTAGCTCAACATTGTTCCAACCTGCTCCATCCCTACCATAAAGAACAGTCCATCATTTAAACCAAGAAACGGTTCAAAACAGTCCACAACATAAATGAAACAGTTCATCACAAAACTATTGTCACTATGTACCAAAGAAGCCTTATCCCAATCAGTTTGAATGCCAATGAACATGCTATCAATAGAATTATGCCAGCCCTGCATTTTATCCATATTAACATAAAAAACAGAGGAGATTAAAGCCTTTAAAATCAGAAAATGAAGAAAGTTAACAGAAAAACTAACTAACAGTTTCTATCTAACTGCCAGTTCACCTATAACTGTCAAAATAGAATTCCACATTTTTCTAAAAACCTCCTAACCAATTCCATAGATAACTTCTAACTGACTATGCCAAAAAGGATTGAACTCAGAAAACTCAGAAAAAATATAGAAGGGAATGGTGAAGTCCGAAACTGTGATGATATAAAATCAGAGAAGGAAAAGTATAAGATATGCCAGCTCATCAAATTCAGACCATAACAGAAAACAGAATTTCAAGCAAAGTCCTAATTGTAATGAAAACTAACAGAATATCTAGCCCTCTAACTAATTCAATTCCTAATCCTTAACTGCCTTCTCTAACATTATTTCTACCTTCCTAATTGATACTAACAACTAACAACATGTAACTAACTTCCTCTAACTACCCCTGGCCGAATTCCTAACTGCCATAACAAACTTCTAACAGAAGATATAACAAAAAAACAAAGAGGAGGAGGGATATGATTATTTAGAAGAGAAAAACTCACCAAAAATTTCTCTTCAACTTGTTTGGAGTTTCTCCCACAGGGACTCTCGATTCTTTCTCTGCAATGATTCTCCATCAACTCTGAATCTTCTTCATCACCTCGCTTCAACCATTCTCTGCAAAAACTCAGAACTTTTTATCATCATCTTCTTCGATTTTCACCTCAACCTTCAATTTACTTCATCACCCAACATCAACATCATCATATATACGCGTTGTTTCCTTCATCTTCGTCTTCATTTGCTTCACATCAATGTGATAAGCATCACAAATGCATCATATCGGTCATTATCATTCTCGTTCTGCTTCGAAACTGCAAGAACAACAAATCTCTATTTCGCTACTGCAATAAAACATACAAAAGACAGAAACGCAGAGAAACGAAAATGTAGACGAAGCAGAGATCACAGAAAACGAAGGAGGAAGAGAAACAAAAAGGAGGAGATACTTGGAGTGCACAGCAGCAAGGAGCGAGGTTTCTGCTTATTTTTTTCCACCGCCAGGGAAGCGTCATCGGAGCGACTCCGATAGGTTTGGAGTCTTCGTGCATTTTTGGTTGATACGGAAAGAATTATAAGGAGAAAAAGGTGAGACGAAGAGAGCGAGTTGTTTAAGATTAGACACGGTTGTGTGCAGTGGTGATAGGTGTTGAGACTTGTAGCGCGACGGTGGAGCGATGATGAAGCGGAGGCTTCCGCTACGGTTTGAAAGAGAAGATAAGGAAATGTTTCATCTTAAAAGGAGGTGAAGGGTTACTAACCGAACCCTAACACAAAAGGGGAAAACGCACCGTTAGCTTGCAATTTGTTTCTTTTTTATTATTCAATATAGATAAAATCTACGTTGGATTATGCTGGTAAAGATGATAGATGGGTTGAACCATTTGTCACCTGGGCCTATTGGTTTTTTTGTGTGTGTAGCACAAAGCTTATGGACAAAAAGGGCCCCATGGGCTCAAAGTGAATGGGCTTAACGCCCAGATTTCCATTGTGATTACACCATCAGATCCAGTTTCACACCTCCGCTGTTTAGAATTTTAATTGGCTCTCTCTATTATTTTTCTTACCTTGTCATGATTCCTATTGATAAAAATATAAAAATATAGATTGAAATTTGGTGATTATTGGTAAGTAAAAGAGATATTGTTGAAGAGTTTCAAGAAAGTTTCAAAGCTAGCTAAGAGCCTAAGTTTGATCAAGGAAATTTCAAGAGGCTTTTGGTAGAGTTTTCTCTTTGCTTGCATGGTTTTAAAGAGGCAGCGGACCTTCTCCGTTAGGTATTATCGTGGCTTCACTTTTATTCCTCTTTTATCGCATTTCTTTATTACTTCCTAGATATCATGAGAAGTAAGAACTTTAATGCTTTTTGAAGCCATGAGAAGTAGGGTAGAGATGTATGACGAGGATCTCCATTGCTGATAATGTCAGAAATCCCTCTGATTTATTTAAAGACATGTTAAGGGCAATTCTGTATTGTATGCATTCTGTTTGCTACTTGTGTGTGGTTTATTTAAAACCATCCCTTTGAGTAGGTATTCTACAGGTGTGTTTACATTTGTGCCCGCACTATTCCCCCATCCCTTATTGAAGTCCTCAAAAGGAGGTGAGTGAGGAGGGTTTGCAATAAACCCCGCAATTTCGTCTGTGTCATCCTTAGCTCGTGACGCACCATGATGCTTCAGAGTTGTGACTGCTCTTTTTATCGAGTCGTCAAGTGGGGAAGGGTTCTGCAATCAAACCCCCACACTTTGTTAGGAGTTCGCATTGGTCGGTGCTGATACTCCATGATCATTCATATTACCTTCTGTCCCAAGCCTTGATCTCCTATATCTTGGTTAGGTGTCCAGTCGCTTTGGACATCACATTTTTGTTTTTCATCTCACTCCCGCTTGTTTTTCTCGGGTGATGCACTCCCCTTGGCTAAAGCATTTCGATTCTTTTCCTTACCATTTTATGTGTGTGCTCTTTTGAGCTTGTTTGTTTTATTATTGTACATACCATGTTCCCTTAGGATGTGCTTGTTCCTTTCGGATGCAAGTTAGACCTTAGGTTGCATTCCATGCATGCTAACATTAGGTAGAGATTTACCTTTCATCCTTGACGTAGAGCCACCATTGTATGATAACATTATGTTAGAAATAGGCTAGTCCCTCGTAGACTCTTTTCTTCCTTTTTTGCATCATTGCATTTAAAACTAAAACTTTTTTTCTTAGCAAATCATAAAACATGCTAATCACACTTGAACCCCTTTTCAAGGTAAAAAATACAAACCAATCAAATGTGGTATGTTTCCTTGAGGGCGTAACTCGAAACCATTTTCAGTAAGGACATGATTAATTTACTGTTGTGCTAACGCGTGAGTCTCCAAAAGGTCGAGCTGCGGTAGAAGGCGGAATTAAAATTGTTTATTAAAAACACAAAACAAACAAAAACATGTAAGCCGAACTACGGTAACTCTTATTCCTCAAATAGGATACGTGGGCATTGGGGTAGGGTCCAAGCGAGCACAACTTTATTTTCTCTACATTATTTTCTCATTTCTTTTGTATGAATTCTTCCTCAATATTAAGCAGTAAGCATAAATTAGACACACCCATAAGATAGATAACAATAGTGGATACCATAGAGTACTACATGTGCGCGGGGTGCTAATACCTTCCCCTCGCGTAACAGACTCCCTTACGCGATCTCTCGGTCGCAAGACCTTGACTTCTTCCTTCTCAAGTTTTCTCGATGCTTGCCTTTCCCTTCATGTGGGATAAAAGACGTTCAATGGAGACTTCATCGTTTGATGATTTTCAGTCGGTTGTTTCACCTAGCATTCGACATACCCTCTCCGACAAACGATGGGGCTCGCTCAACCGCGGAAGCATGTTAAGGTACGAACATAGCTTCTAACCAATAACTAAAGGCGAGTTTCTACTCATTGGTCGAGCAGAACCTTAGCCCGATGGGGACCCCTCGATCAAGCTTCGCTGTCGAAGTAACTAATAGGAAGGACACCTAGCTCGCGATGGAAAGTTCACACCACGATGTCAAGACCCCGACCGCGATCTTGGCCTCGTCTATGCGGACCCCTAATTTGCCTCCTCGACACATTTCTACATGTGTCGAACATAATTAAGGTCGAGCATAAATTCCCTTTTGTCGTGGATTTCCACACACCAATTAAACATATCAAACACAATGACAGAATACCAAAATACATAATAGAGAAGCAAAGCGAAATCATTAAAAATACAACCATAAAGACTGGTGTCATCTGTACAATACAAGAGTAGGGAACACAAACCCAAATTAAAATAAGTCATACAAAAAACGGGCAAATCCTCTTGTCAAAAACATTTAGCAAAAGCTGGTCATGCCAAGTAAAAATACGGACACGCAGGCCCGAAAACTCCTAATCTTGGCGCCCATCCTCCTCGCCATCCCATTATTCCCCGGGGTGGTCATCGGGAGGGTAAATTATCTTCCCATTTACCACCTGGTTGAAAGGCCCAACACCTTCAGTCACAAACTCAATCCCGCTATTGATGATTTTAAGCTGCTCCACGGTGATGTTAAAGCCATAACTTAGAGTATCCACGACATCCTGCTCGAGCACACGATTCTGAGCAATCCGAATTTTCCTAGTCCCAAGGGCCTTCTCCATGTCAGTCTCTTTATCAGCAGGCACCACAATATCTTCCAACTCCTTTACCCAAGCGGCCAGTTGCTCGTTCTCCTTGGTTGCAGCCTCCAATTGAGGCCTTAGCTCAATAAAATCCTTGAGGAGTTAGACCCGCGCCTCATACTTTGCCTCATGGTTGATAATGTCATTTTTCAACCTTTTGTTATGCCTCTGCAGTTTGGAGATCAAGGCATTTTCCTTATCAAGAGCATCCTGCAAACAAGATGCTGCATCATTAAGAGTCAAAGCGGTTTCGAGAACCCTCATCACGGTGGCCACATCTTCTGATAAATTTTTCTGCCGGGCTTCTTTGTCCGCAAACATAATGGCTTCCCCCTCCTCTTCATAGATACCTAGGGAATCCTCCCTTCTAAAGATACCTCAGTTGAGATAACAGGGGGAAACACAAAGGTCTCACCGACACCTTTGTCCCCGTCGACAGCCACCAGGTGCTCAGGGCCTCCCACGCGCTTCCTTTTTGCTGATTGTTCAGGAGGGGAGGCCTGGGCCCCTCGAGGAGAGGCCGAAACACTAGGGTGGGCACCAGCTTTGGCTTATTCCTGAAGTTGAGCAATCCGACTTTTGGTTGAAGGGGTAAGAAAACACTTAGAAGGGGGGAGGGTGAATAAGTGACTCTTTTTCTTTTCAAAACAAAGCTCAATAATAATGGAAGGACAAGGTTATTTTTATCCTGGTTCGTTTGAACTCAAGCTACTCTAGTCCACCCGTCAAGGTGATTTCGCCTTTCTCAACAAGGACTTAATCCACTATAATCAATTGATTACAAACACACAACAACTGTTGTGACTAACAATGCACAAGTAATCTTACAAGTGACTAACACCACTAAGACTTAAATCTAGTCCTAGTCTACTTGAGAAATCTGACCAAACTTGGTCTCTCAAGGAACAATTACAAGAGTTTAATCTTACAGATAGTGAAATAAAATTTGCTTATAATCAAGCTATATCACAACTGTGATTTTTCACTTAGAATAAATTGCACAAAGTGTATGAATAGAGAGTTTGTGAGCCCAAAATTTTTCACGTAGTTTCTTGCTTCTTTTTGAAATTGATTTATTAGTTGGCTTGCAATAAATGTCCTTCTATATATAGTAAGAACAAAAAGACCGTTGCTGCCTTCAAAAAGTGGAGAGAATTAAATGCTTGCGTGTTTCTTTGCACTATTCCATTTTCCAAGAACTACTGTAGACACTTGAGTACTTGCAGCCGTCTTTGCATTAAATGAGCTAACGGAACTTGTAAGAACCTGTTTCCTGAAGCTTGACAAGACAAGTTGGATTTTGCATTTCTTTCAGAACTTGCTTCAACGTCTTGAATTCAGAACATGCTTTGCTTATCTTCTGAACAAAGCTTTGCTTGCTAAGAACTTGATCAGTGCTTGCCTTCAAATAAACCTCTGAACAACACTTGCTTTCAAGTAATCTTCTGAACAAGGAATCCTGCTAAGTGTTAGAAGATACAATTAAATTAATTGTCTTACCAGAGTCAGCAACAGCAGTTGCGCTTAAAGCAAATAGTTCTTTCATTTAAAGAACTTCTTCATATAATTTTTAGCTCAGCACATCAAAATGCTTCTATCAAAACATTATCTGAAACATTCAAATACGTTCATCAGAGTATAAATTATCTAAAATATAATTTATTGTTATCATCAAAACTCTGAGATAGATCAGAACTAATCTTGTTCTAACAATCTCCCCCTTTTTGATGATGACAAAAATTATTCAGATATAGAAATAAAATATAATAAGAGATAAGAATCTCCCCCTGAAATGAATATTTCTATATATAAAACTTCCTGAGATTATTTATCATAGCATTTAAAATATCTTCTTGGATTTCTTCAAAACTTCTTCAT